AACATGTGTTCCATCTATGCATCCAAAGGCCTGTACAATGCCAAATTTTGTCTCGAACTCACAGACCTTTTTCCTCATTTCATTCTCATCTACAGGTAAGTGCAAATACTTCGGCCCAGGTACTTTTGAAATCACATTGGAAACCTCAACTACAACACCAGAAACTGTACAGACAGCTATACCGAAAGCATTTGCTGTCATAATGAGGGAGCCAGTGTCTTTCAAATAGTACAATGTAACAGCCAGTTTCTTTGCACTTTGCACTATCTAGTGCTCTGTGGTTAGGTGAACTGGGATCGGGTGAAATGTAAGGTTTAAGCTCAGTCTCAAGTTCTAGAAACGATTCTTTGGTCATGCGGAAATTCTTCATCCAGAATTCATCAGGTGCTTCGCCATTTATCATCTTTATCCACCATTGATCTGATCTGCCAGGTTTAAACCAACAACTTCTATTACGTCGTCTTAACCTTCGTTGCCTTAGTACCTTTAGCTTTCTCAAGAAATAACTGCGCCGATTTTGAAGCGCTATCAACATCGTATTCTTCTTTTGTTTCTCGTGAATTTTCCACAAGAGAATAAGGCCATATAGTTGCAAAAGAAGGGCAGTAAAAGCTCCAATTTGGGCCGTCACTGAAGCTATTAATGCAACAATTTTGAAACCCGCCATTTTGCATTTAACTTTCCCGCGAAAATTTGTATTTGTTTTCACAAGTCAGCCCGCCCCAAAAGTTTCATGTAAACGCGTGGTGAAATTCATCTCGGGGAAGCGAGCCAGCTCGGGTACCCGGGCTGGCTCGCTTCCATATAAACAGCCCCTTAGTCTTACACGACGAGTGGGGGAGCGTGTGGTATGCACTGTATTGGGAAATTACGAGATACAAATGCAAGCACTCTTTACGCACGCCCTAACTAAAACCCAAAGCTTCCGCAGAGAGCCAGAGGAGAGTGCCATCCAAAGCCGTATTTACTGAAAGTCTATCAGTAGGCCCTGCACGGATTTGTTCCAGTGATTTCGCCTTATTTGACGTACGTTGATTGGTTGATTAAACAGTCAGCCAATCAGTGACGCAAAAACATGAGGGTTTGACAGTTTGTAACCATCCAATCAGTTTAAATTACCTTTTAGTGTGTGTGCTTTTTTTTCATGAGTAGATGCAAGTAGCAGGTGTTTCTTTCGAAAGAATATATTAGTACAATGGGGATACGGGGCTCAATATGTTAGGGGGTTTCGGGGCAATGTACCTCCGAGAAAATGTTGAATACTTAGACCCTCAGCAACCAAAATTTGGCAGTCTTACTTATAACTTCCACATTTCCCTGTCAATGCTCTTCTGATAGTTTACCTGAAAATCAACTTAAATCACCTAGAAATGTACCCAAAATTACTCATGAACACTATTGGGCGGGGGGGGGGGGGCGTTTACGGTCCTGCAAATGATATTCAATGGTCTATTTGTCAAAGACGCTTGCCACAGAGGAAAAACCTTCACTCAAATCACTGGTTTAATTTAAGTGGAAGAAGCATCTCATTTATGTTGGCAAGGCTGCTCGACACCGTCTACTGATATCAACGGATACATATCGAACCCTGAGTGTACAGAAGACCAAACGCCTGAGAGATCTATCGCTGTACCACAAGGAACGACATAGTTAAATGCACGAAATCCATTCGATTATGCTCAGATGGTGTGAACATCTTTACCAAAACAATTTGGAAAATAAAATAACGATTAATAGCATTCCATTCGTTAGCCCGAGTGTGTAATAAGTACCCTGATCTATAGTTAATGTTAAGGAATGTCCTCATTAATTTTGTCTTTGTCTGTGAATAAGATGGCCTGGTAGGAAACATTTTATGCACTGCAGTGATTCACAGCGGTTTATCTTGACTTAGCGAGATTGCGTTAATTTGATGTAACCAGTACCAGTACAGGACGACCGCAACAGAGAGTCAGTTTAAAAAGCAGTTACTGTATATCCATGCAGCTATAAACATGAGCAGCTCATGATGCTCATCAAAAAAGTTTGGAAAATATATAATAAAGGAATACATGGTATAGCCTGTGTAGGTGTTTTTGAACTTATTCAATTGCGGTATACGAGTGCCTTGAAAAATCATATATCCCATGTGAAATAGCGTGCATGACTACTATATGTATATGCGAGACCGAAGCAAGCAAGAACTTGCTCTGAACTTTGTTAATACATGCTAATAACTTTAATGAATTCATGGTGTGTTATATTGAGGTAAAACATCATGCATGTCAACGCAGGCAGTCTAGAATTATATAGTTATGCAAAAAATCCTCGGCTCTTGACATGTACACAATATTTTTAGTCATTTTAATACTTGTTTTCTATCATACAACATTCTTTCATTGTGTCAACTATTCTAATACGTAAAAAGATTATAAATTTTGGCGATAATTACAAAAGGTGATAAAAATTGAAGGTCAAGATTACAAGATAGTGATAGGATTGAACTTTATGTCGTTTCCTTCTTTCATCACAACATCCATAACGTCACTATTCAGATATTATGCAAACTAATTCTGTGTATTATGCCAGTTATGCAGCGTACAACGTCAATGAGCGATAATTATTATCGTTTCAACCCATTCACAAAGTCAAAGCATGCAGGAGCCTGCGTAGCTGGATGTTTTATGGGGTTGAGGCTGGGTTTTAGGGTGAGGCCCCAACCCTAACGCCTTTAGGCCGGTTTTCCACTAGGCGGAATTTTGCGTGCGGAGCGGAATTTTCTTTGTCTTGTGATTTCTCGGGTGGAACTAATTAGAAAAGACAAAGAGAATTCCGCTCCGCGCGCAAAATTCCGCCTAGTGGAAAACGGCATACAGCATGAGCATGAGCATGCATGAGCATGCATGGCGCATGCATGAGCATGCATGGCGAAAGCATGAGCATACATGGCGTGCACACATATTAGAGCCTGCATTTTCAGGTTTGCTTTATTTGCTGACATACAGCAATGGGTGAAACTTCCTATAATAATACAACATATTATAAATAGGTTAAACCTGTCATGCAACGTTATCAAGACCAGGTGTAACGCTTCAAGGCTATGGAAATATCGTGATGCAATACACGCTTTTCACAAGTCAAATTTTCCGCTATTGACGTCATACCCAGACCTTTTAATTTAGTTCAAATTTCATCAACTCTGAAATTTCGTTTGTTGAATTCCATAGAAATACGCAAAAGATGAAATAGTTAACAAAAGTTGAAGTACGAGATTTTTGGTCTTTCAGAAGTCTGGTAAATCATCATCGAACTTTTTGGGTATTTTTCGTATGGAATGAAAGAATATTTGCTAGATAAAGATATCTACTTTTTTCCGAATACCTGATTAGAATAATTACAAGAAATAATGGAACCAGAATAGTCGTCAGAACCATTTTCAGGATTAAATTACATTCAAGCCACATGAAGTAGGCCACACACCGATTAGAGATAATATAATTTGTGGAGATGAAGATTTAAGTAATCACTATTTATAAACTCTGAGATATTTAACTTGAGAGAACTTTATAGTTGGTTACGTTGATTTCTTGTTTCAAAATCAGTGCAACGGCATGATCATGAAGGGACTAAAAGCACAGGGGCATAGCCAGGGAGGAATGGGGGTCCGGACACCCCCCCCCCCCCCACACACACTTTTCTTCAGGACAAATTTTGTAATTCTTGAGGAAAAACTGGTAATGCTTTCATCGGTGACATAAATGTACTAAATCTTTAGCTTTTAGACTAAAATGCATAAAATAGCTCTTCGCAGACCCTAAAAATAGAACATTGTCCAGTGTACCATGCCCCAATGGCCGAACTCCTTAGTTGTTCTGTGTATCTGATGATTGGATCCCCCCAGTCGTTTTGGGGCTGGCTACGCCCCTGAAAATAATTTATTTAAGTAATACTAGAATTATATAGTTTAATATTTACGAAATTTATTTATAATTTTAAAATTTATAATATATAAAAAAATTATAATCTTCATACGTGAAAACAATTTCTACATGTTAAAAACCCGAACATTTACCGCAAATTCAACCGCGGGAAGCTAGTTAATTATGTGATCGCGAGCGGTTGCCTTTCAGGTATTCTTAAAAACAAACCAATCATAAGGTCCTTAGGTCTATCTTAACCGAGACATTAACAGTATCTCTACGTTCGGTTTATACACAGGCTATCCCCTCCTCCTGTTAGGTGTGTGTGCTTTCTTAATGGTCATGCATTGCAATATCTTGCCTAATATATATGAATATGAAGAAGACGGTCACCCAATATAATGAAAATAGTTCTAACACCAAGCATGATGTGTTTTCTATGATTTATTCGGTTGCATTACTAATTTAAGAATATGCGCAAAAACGTATCTTTACCAAAAGGGTTTGGCGTTCCGGCTCACCAATTAACGCCAGTATGTTTTGCATAATATGCGCCTAGATAATACAATTCCTTAATCAGTTTATAACATCATTAACTACTAGAAACTCTGGTGAGATAATTCGGTGTGCGGACGTCAATGCATGCATATCAATTTAAATATAAAAGTAACCTTACAATGCATCACAGTTACACAGACCCACAGATACTGGCACAGTCACAGAACTGCTGGGAAAAGACACCTGAAGTGATTAAAATCGGAAGGGCCTGGAAGGACAACAAGAGCGCTTTGTTTTATAAGCCATTCACAAATCTCATTATCGGCCCCAAATTATGTAATTATCGTTGTCAATGACCAATTTCTCTCATACTTCGGAGTAAGATTTCGTTCTATACATGATACTTAGTGATACTTAAGTCTAAGGTCATATTCCAGCTTAAACTCATACCAGTGCGCATTTTTTCAGTTAAGCATGTGGCATTGAAATGTAATATAGTAAGCAAGTCAAGGAGCTGTGAACAGATCAAACTTTTAGGTTTTTTACATTGCGTATCAATGGAATTTGGCTAATGTGTTATATTATATACAGTAGAAATATTTTATCCGGTATATCATAATTGATGAACGTAAATGTGACTCACCTTGCCCGGTAACTTCTCGGAGAGAAATAATTGAGGCGAATAAAAACAAACATAACATTGCTATAGACGTCTTTAGTCTCATATTGCGTTCTGTATTCATGTAGTATACACCTCAGTATAAACAGTGAGAAACCAGTTGTTTTGCTTGCAAACAGGGACTAGTGCTGAGTCCAAGGAGACCTCCAAAGGCAATAATTCTCTCAGCTAGAATGTATATTTGAACACACCTGCCCTCGGTGAAAATGTCTGATGGAAGTGTTCAATTAATACACTGTTGGGTGCAATGTGTTAAGTAACATGATACATATGCTACGACGTTGTTTGTAAAGATTCTTCTCGAGTGCCAATCACATTTCAATTTGGTCCTTTTGGCCAACAGGCTGCATGTCTAGAAAGTCGCTTAGACGGGAAATTAATAAAGCATTGCCTTCCATTGGCAATCTTGTCAAATCAAATATCACAATAAAGTTATATTTATCGCCCGTGGACATGCGATAAGAGTAATGTAAAGTTATCATCATGTTGTTATACGAGCATTGATGTAAACCACATCACTACGGCAATTTTTATATTTCAATTATTTCAGTCATGGTAAAAGATGGTTGAATTATATACTGTACAGGACAGCGGTAAGTGCACATTGCAGCAGATACAAGTAACATAACTTCTTCTGAAGATACAGTAAAATTTGAGGCTTGTCTACTCAGATAACGTAAGTGCAAGAGGAATCAGAATGAATTAGAAATCGATAAAAAAGTTTCAATTTTTGTGAAGACTGTCATTGTTTATATAGACCATTTTTATGAACGTATATATTGGAAGGGACACAAGCTGCACATAGGTCCTGGATACGAGGTTGCATTGAAATCACGTTATTAGCCTATTAGCCTGTTAGTGTTACCCTCCTATATATTATTACTATTATATATTATATAAAGTATAGTGCTTTATAGAGATTTCGAGCACTGATAAAAGTGATAATCTCACATGTGAGATTATTTATGATAATCTCACATGTGAAAATTGGAAATACCAGATTTATTTATTCTTGGAAATACCAGATTTATTTCTCGTGTTGAACATGATATCTCACTCGTTCGCATGTTCAACACTCGAAATAAATCTGGTATTTCCGCGCACCCATGTATTATTCTCTATAAATTATTATTGTTATAGTAGGTGGAAATAAAAATCGGAATGCATTTAGAGAAAAGTGTCCAAACATGCAAGAGGCCTTTGGCAGAATTCGAATGGAGAATTTTAAAACATCTCCCATGCAAATATTTAAGTTAGTACCACGGGCATTTTTAACTGCACATTCTGTTGATGACGACTAGGTATATCTGATATAAAGTTTGTGTACGCTCCTAATAAGTCTATCATGAAAATCAGTATTTGCTATATGCATAAAAGCAATTCATCTATCTACGGTGATGCATACATCAAAATGATCAAATTACCTAAGTATTAGAAGGTGTGCACAAAATTGATAAAGATAATTTCACGAATATAACGATGAAATATTGGTAATCTAATTTTAATATTTTGCATTGCGCGGTAAATGTTCTCGATACTTCATGTCTATTTATTCAGATACTTATACTATTGATGTTTCATCGTGGCCCTTAGCCCCTTAAGGATGAACTCTTGTTGACGTACTGCTTTCTATAAACACTGCAACTAAAACAGCTATAATCATGTTTATTTTTAAACCATATGCATAAACAATTCTATTCACCACAGTTATTAATAATTGATATGTTAATTTCAGTTTATGTTCCCGATTATGAGTTGGCCTCATTTTAAATTCTTCAATAACACCCTAATTGAAAGTAAGTAGGTTGTTGTGGCTCTTGAAGGAGCGAAGACTCTGGCAACACCCCCTGTTAAGATTGATTCGTTTGAAGCAATCCATTTTTAAATTCACCTCTTTCCACGAATTGTGCACGGAATTATTACAAATCAATTAAATCAATTAAGCCTCGCATAAGCACAAGCACAAGAAATTTTGTGTACTAGTGAGGACAGCCGCACCATATAAGGACAAGACGCCTGCTCAGGCGTTCACACTGGCCTCGCGGTTGGTAAAATACCATCGAAATACTCTAAAAAATAATTTGAAACATGTAGATGTTCTTCACTTCTTAATTGACGGCCGTCACTTCATGATCACAAACATTCAGAGGACGGCACAATAAAAATCCATACAAAACCAATAGAGTTCAGCGATATCATATCGAAACTAACACAGAAAAGTTCAAGCGCATCCGCAATGAAATATAATAAAGTACGTCCCACAATTACAGCGTCTAAGATTTGTAACGTAGTTAAATACGAAATTCGTTCTGATTAATATTGTGTAGAATTGGTCCTAATAATCGTCGTGAGCATGTTTTAGCAATTTAGCTAAATTGCGCAATCCTGAGCCCACGATGCCGCAATGGAAAGCCACACTTGCGACAACCAAAAAAAAACGAAAAAGACAGCATTTTCAAGTAAGGGCATTCTATGACACTGGCTGCGGCCAGTGTAATAAGGATAATGTACCAGTCAATTTCAACTGCGATCATCCCGCCCCGGGGTTCAGGGGTGGCGCTACAGGGGGGGGGACCCCCCACTCGTCGGCAAATTGTTATCTCAGTCGGCAAAACTGGATTGGCTAGAGATAACCACTGAAGAAACCAAAATTGACTTCCTGAATAATTGAATTCTAACCGAATATCACGAATAGCATGCATCAAAGAAACCACACATGCAGCAATGCAAATTCTTTCGAATACAGTATCTTCACTTCTCAGTCCAAAAACATAATATTATTGAAATCATAATTAGGTAATTAAATTTGTTTGGTTGTTGTTGTTGTTGTTGTTGTTGTTACTGTTCCATTACTGTTCTATAAAAGAGGCAATAAATTTATGTGATGTTGTTTTTTGTCGCTTTTTTCGCTATCTTGTACGTAGCATTTGTTTTTGTGACAAATTCAGTAAAACAGGAAGCAACAACAGCTTTTTCAACGTCCCTGCTCTTGTTCCAGACTTTGGACAAATGTATATTTAAATGATGTTATATAAAACCATTAAAACGTAAAATTTACATATAATTTCCTGTATGAATACTTATCAGTATAAAGATGAGTAAAAGATGTGTAAAGTACTATTTAAAACATGAGCAGCAGTGTTTTACCAGTTGTAAAGATACGAGGCGAAGCCGAGTATCTTTAGGTCTGATAAAACACGCACTGCGAATATTTTAAATTGCTTCAAAAACGAAGTAATTTTCAAAAAATACATTATGTGAGTAGAGAAAATCAAAGTTAAAGTTTGTGTAAATCAAGGGAAATCTCGATCTCTCTATCACATATAAAGATACGACGCATGCACGCTTATGATTTTTCTTTGTGTTTTCCTCATGAATCACAGTGAGAACAATACGAGCATAAGGTCACCAAAGCATTCCGCTTGTTTATCATTGCGCTGATGCTTGCGTTGTAGTGAGGACAAGGCTTCATAAACATAACGTTAACACCAATTTAGTCATGTCTATAATTTACACATAAACGGCATGAATGAAAAAATTAACATGCCTGCACGGTTGGAGCAATTAATTGGATGCAGGAGGAGCAGAATGTCACAGATTTCTAAGAAACATGTTTGTTTTTAGAACTTTTAATGTTGTGTGCGTCTTTTAATTTTACATATTTTTAAATTTTATAATCATGCATTGAATAATTTTAACTGTGCGGAAACTTAGTCTTAGAATTGTGACTTGAATTAATCAATGAATAGTTATATAGCTTTATTAAAACGCTGATTGGCTAAGAGCCGTGTTGATATAACTCAATGTCAACACGGAAACGTCGAAAAATTTCTTTCTTTATGTTTCTTTGTGCTATATTATAAAACAAATATAAAACATTTTTCCCTATTGATATACTAACAGTTAGATATACTAACAGCTATTGATATACTAACAGTTAAATCAACACGAGTGGAAATTGGGAAAACTCGAAATTGTGTGAAAACACTCCAACCTTCGGGCGTCGTTCCACACAATTTCTCGTTTTCCCAATTTCCACTCGTGTTGATATAACCTGTATATCAACACGGAAAATGTTTTATATTTGTTAAATAGCATGCTGATATTCAACTATACAACCGATTTCACATAAATTAATAATACCTGATTTCGCTTACAGTAAGAACACAATATTATATATATATATATATATATATATATATATATATATATATATATATATATATATATATATATATATATATATATATATATATATATATATATATATATATATATATATATATATATCAATTTATCAATTTATTAAAAGATACCAATTTTGCAGTTAAGAACTGAATTACACTGGTTTACATGCATACGAGTAAAATGTCTACAAACACTCATTATTTACAAGCTGTTAATTGTAATAGTTCTAGGTAAGAATATAGCTTAAATATTATTATTTAAAACTGGAGTTGTAGGCCTTACTACCGGCCATAATAAAACTGTTAGCAAACCTACTTGTCCTATGCTTTGGTATTGAAAGACAATTATCATTACGTAGAGAATATCCTGTTTTATGTCTTGGGGGAACGAGAGAATGGAGTTTATGGGATGATTCATCACACATTTGAGCAAAAAGTTTCTCGCAAATGGTCTTTCTCCGTAGGAACAGTGACACCACCCCAGCACGTACCAACGCATCTTCATATTTGAGATCAGGAAAGATTATACGAAGGGCTCTCCGTTGAATACTCTCGATCTCGTCGCTCAAATATTGCGCCAAGCTATAGTGCCATACCTCGCACGAAAATTCTAAGATTGGTCGAACGCAGGTAGTAAAAACCCGGACTAACTTGCTCGCTGGTATAGAGGCTCTCTTAAGTAATCGTAAGGCATACAATCGCTTCGAAGCTTTCTTGCAGATATAATCAACGTGCTCGATCCATTTAAGATCTTTAGATATCATGACACCAAGTAATTTAGCATGCGGAACCACAACTATATCGTGACCGTCAATGGTGATCGGCGGAAGAGCCCCGGGATCAAGAGGAGAAAACCCAACACGAACTTCTTTTGTTTTTGTAGGGTTCAGTTTCATGTTATTCTCAGACGCCCATTTGGTAGATTCTGTAATTTGAGACGGTAGGACCGAGTTGGATTCTTGACCCTTCAAGACGATCTCCCAGATAGTGGTGTCGTCAACAAATTTCACTGTATCGTCAGAAACATTCAAGTCGTTCACCATGATGAGGAAGAGGAGGGGGCCCAGTTTGGTTCCTTGGGGGACTCCTCCGTTGGTAGTTCTCCAACTCGAAAAATTA